TCACTACATAAAAACAATTTAGTATTCCATTTGTTTTCTTCCATTCTTTGGAGGACCATAAAAATTGATTATTTGCCCACACCCTAAAAATAGCATATTACTTTGACCTAAAACACAAAACCAAATTGTTTAAGGGAGTTTCTCCTTTTTTAATGTTTATGTTTATTATTTTCTGTGTATGAGTGTATTGCCTACATGTATGTGAGTGCACCCATGTCTTGCAGTGCCACAGAGGTCAGAAGACGGCTTCGGATTCCTCTGGAACTGGAGTTAAGGATGGTTCGTAGCTGCCATGTGGGTGCTGGGAATTGAACCCGGGTCCTCTGGAAGAACAGTTAGTGCTCTTAACTGCTAAGCCATCTTTTTATGTGTATGAGTGTATTGCCTACATGTATGTGAGTGCACCCATGTCTTGCAGTGCCACAGAGGTCAGAAGATGGCTTCGGATTCCTCTGGAACTGGAGTTAAGGATGGTTCATAGCTGCCATGTGGGTGCTGGGAATTGAACCCGGGTCCTCTGGAAGAACAGTTAGTGCTCTTAACTGCTAAGCCATCTCTCCAGCCCCCATGTATTATTTTTTATACATGTTTGTTTTGACATATGTAGGATTTCATTAATTTCATTATATAGCTAAGCCTGGCCTCAAATTCATGATCTTCTTGCCTCAGCCTTTTTAGTGCTGGGATTACAGTGTGCCACCATGTTCGAGTTTTATAAAAATATTTTGATGGAAAATTTTCTAATATGTATCAGTGACATTGCTTTAGAAAATGTCCTTTTCAGGGGCTGGAGATATGGCTCATCAGTTAAGAGCATTGGCTACTCTTGCAGAGGATCTGGGTTCAATTCCCACCACTCACATAGTGGCTAACAAACATTCATAACTCCAGTACCAGGGGAATACAACACCCTCGTCTGACCTCCAGGGACACTGCATACCAGGGGTATACTTACACACATGCAGGCTATATACTCATACACATAAAATAAAGATAATAAATAAAATATTTGAAACAATTGTCCTTTTCTACTTTCATGCTTTATGAGGCAACTGAACGGTTACAATTCTGTGAAGCTGGCTCCTCCTCTTTATCCCTCAGTCACAGCCAGTCATTCATGCTTTTGAGCACTACCTTTGTTTACTATACATTCCACACACTTCAAGTCCAGCATTTGCCATACTCTTTTGTGACATACTGTCCTGCAATTATTTTTGAGCTGCCTGACCTCCCTGTTTCACTGTATCTTATTTATGCTACAGTCAACGGACACACAGGAGCCGAGTGAAAGTCACCTAGGCAAATAAGTAAGGCTTGCTATTGGGGCCAGGGCTACAGTATGGGTCTTCGACCCTTACTTACAACTTCCCCCTTCCTTACAACTACCCCATTCTACTCCCTCCTTTAGCTTCAGCCCAGCAGCTGTACCCACTGATGTAAACACATGTAATAAGTTGCCTCTAGAATCTATCAGGTAATCCCTGCGTATTACAGTTTCCTCAGTCTTTTCTCTCAAAGGTAGACTTTCAAACTTTGCTTGTTTCTGCCGCAGCATCCAGCCACTTTTTCCCGATTCCTTTCTGTCTGCTGCTGCCTAAGAAACACATTTGTCTGGGAGAAGGGACAAGGAATTCTTATAAGAAACAAATGAGCTTTTGTGGATAGATTTTGAGACATTGAGGTCAGCTACTGAAAGACCGTCTTTCACTCTTGGCTTTTCATTGTTTGTACTATTACACTGTAAACACAGATACCCCAGCTATAGCTGCTTGTTTTGTTTCTTCCTCCTGTCTACATGATGGGTAATGAATCATCCGCATGGATCTCTGACTTATTTCCTTGAGCTGGTTTCCCCCAATCTTTGTATTAAGATCATATAAACATGACTTTAAGCTGATTGTGGCTGTTTTGTAAATGTAAAATTCTATTTTTATTATGCTTTGTGATCAAGGAAATCTAGATTTTGATTAGGCCAATGGTAGAGGTCAAAGGCCAACACTTCAGTAAATCTGAATATAACAATCATATCAAAGATTAAGGAAAGAAGGAATATTAAGAGTACATTGAATTTTCCCCTTGTATTAACACACAAGAATCCAGTCCAGATTTGGAGACTTCCTACAGGCAAGGATTGATTCTTTCCTTCACATTATTCTTTTCTTTACAGCATTTACTATCAGGCTTCTTTAAGTGAGAGTCAGCTTAACTTCCCTCTCTCTTGCTCACCAGCTGACTCTGTCTTCTATAAAATAGACTCCATGTACCTAAAAAACACCATTTTTGCAAAGTCTTTCTACTTGATTATACTTGAAAATTGGGGCTTCCTCGCTATTTAGACTAAAGTTATGTCAAATCAAACAAACTGTGACTTACCTATTTCATCAACAGTGAAGCACTTTTGGTCCACCATACCACCATTTTTAGTTAGCTTGATGCAATAGGGTATCCAGATGGAGGTATACGATGAGTTAAAGTAACAGCTGTTTTCTCCAGCAGAGACATAATCGGGGCATTCTTTCCATTCTTGGGACCATTCATGGGCGATCCTGAAATGGAGGGTGAAAAAAGGATTGATCATTCTCCAAGTCATGCCACAGCTTTAGTCAAAGTGAGGTGTTTGGTAGTTAGATTCAGTAAACTAAAACAAAAATATATTATGAAATAATTAATATTTTACCAACACCATTTCTAGGAAGTATCACACCTATAGACAGTGTTATTAGTATCTGAAGACTGTCAGGAGCCTATTTGGTACTTCTGCTCATAATTAAATCATTCATTTATTAACTGAATATGTTGTTGTAGCCTGATTCCCAGCTGGTAGATCCTGTTATTAAGAAGAGATTGGATCATGACTTAATCAATGGATTAATCACTGATAGATTCATATTTGATGACATTATTGGGAAGTGGTAGAAACTAGGATGTAGGACTTGATTGGGACTGTGACTTAGAAGCCGGTATCTCTCTCCTAGCCCCTTCTCCCTGTCTCTCTCTCTGCTTCCTTGCCACTGAGCAGCCTCTTCTTCACAAGCTCCTGCCACCATGATTTTCTGCCTTCCCACAGGCCCATAGCAACAGATCTGGTAGACCATGGGCTGAAACTTCTGAAAACATGAGCCAAAGTAAATCTTTCCTCCTTTAAACTGTTTCTATCAAGTATTTGCCACAGTTATAAAATGTATGACTAACATAAGTGGGACAGTTCATGATCTCTTTATTTTATTCCCTAGCCTGTCTTGGTTGAGAAGAGGATTTATAAGTCAAGAGGACACAAAGCCATGTAACCTTTGGTTGAGCAAGAAGGCTATAGGAGGGCTGGGGAGATTATTCAGGTGCTATAATACTTGTGCAAGCACGAGAACCGGAGTTTGAGCCCAAGAACCCACATAAAAGCTGGGTGCAAAATTGAGCACCTGGAGTCCCAGTACTGGGGAGATAGGGACAGGAAGATCCCCAGGAGCTGTTGGCCAGCTAGTCTAGATGAATCGACAAGCTCCAGGTTCAGTGAGGCTATCTCAAAAAAAAAAAAAATACAGTGGAGAGCAATTTAAGATGACACCTGACATCACTATGTGCCCCTCTACACCAACACACACACACACACACACACACACACACACACAGACACACACACAGACACACACACACGCATGCACAAAGGTGGCAGGAATGACTCTGCACAGGTGCAGGGGTTGGCACCCTAGATGTGCATTTTGGAGACCTTTCCACTGTGGGGTGGTACTGGCAGCACTGGGCAATGAGAACATGGCAGGCTGGGGGCAAGGCAAGGCCTAGGAGGAATAAACGAGAAAACATGAAGATACACTTACAAGGCCTCTTTCACAGCTGCTTCTCTGGCTGGTGATTTGGCGCTAGGGATTGCTGCATAATCAGGGGGCCCTTGAGACAGCTGCTCATCAGCTGTTTGAATGCATGTGGGATCAAAACAATTGTGATTCTAGAAGCTGAGACTGTGAATTGTTGCTTAAACTCTGTTTCAGTTTCTTTTTTTTAATTTTATTAATTTTATTTTATGGGTATAAGTGTATTGCCTGTGTGTGTGTAAGTGCACCCGTATCATGCAATGCCTATGGAGGTCAGAAGAAGCTACTGGATCCCCTGGAATTGGAGTTATAGATGGTTGTTAGCTACCATGTGGGTGCTGGGATTTGAACCCAGGTCCTTTGCAAGAGCAGTCAGAGCTCTTAACTGCTGAGCCATCTCTCTAGCCCCTGTCTGAGTTTCTTAAACATTGCATGTTCTTAGGTGAGGAGTGGATAAAGGCAAAAGAAAGGATAAAGTGTTTGTGTGTGTATATATGCTTGTATTTATTGTGATAGCTAAAAGATTAGGGATAGGTGGTTCATTGAGTGGCATTCTTATTTAATCTTGACATTCCAACTACTTAAGAATTAATTTAAAAGATTTACCAAAATTGCCCAGAGAATTAGACTTTCACATAATGGTAGAGGAGCTATCAAATGGAGTTTACGTAATTAATAGTGTAAGAATTAAAGTCTTAAGATGCTGCACAGACACAGGATAGCGAGTGCTTAGTAGGTCTGTGTTTGTTTGGAGCCAGCCAGCCGAGGCCTGCTGTGCTTCACCGTTTCTTGACTTCGGCAGTGTAAGCAGCCCAGGTCCCAGAAGGATTGTGAAAAAAAAAAAAAAAAAATCCTGGTAAGGTTATCCAAATCCATTTGCTCCACAGGACACAGCACTTACAGGACTTAATCTGAATCTGAAGCTTGATGGATCAAGAATGGCTAGTTCAAAACACAACTCTGAATCTCTTGATTCATTAACTAAACTTGAATAAATATTTAAAAGTTATTTCTTAAGCTAGTAAATCTAGAGAAAAAGCCAAATAACCTCATGAAACAGTCACCTGCCTTCCCTGGTTGGATTCCTACACATTACGCAGGCTGGTCTAAGGAGGCCACTTCTCCTTCTTAGTCCCCAAAGCTAAGTGCTTTAGGTTTGCCCTCAGACTATCCTGTGAAAGGAGAGAGAATCACAGATGATCATTAAAATAAAAAATAGTGAAGGCAATATTTTTCATCTAAAAGTCTGGATTGGAGTTAAGTCAAAAATTGGAGATGAAGTCATGAAAATAAAACCAGATTCCAGGTCCTAAAATTTCAACTAGTCTAACTGAAGGATGCCAACTCTTAAACACTAGACCTGCTCCTTCTACCAAGGGATGTTGGATCACCTGGAGTCCTTGACTTGACCCTAGACCATACATCTCTTCCTCATATAAACCAATTGGAGGGACTAATCCAGCAAATGTCTGCAGGTGAAGTAGCCAGAATAGTCACCACCCTATGCTCCTATGAACTCCTTGAGGGGGAAAAGTTGTGGTAAGAGCAAATATTTGGGTTAAAATAAATGCTGAAAGGATTAAAACAACAAAATGGGTACTGACAGGCTCTGACCAGCTCCCACAAAGTCTTTACCATTAACTAACATTTGGTTTCATTTGGTCCAAAATATGTTATTAATGAATCAGCAACCTTTTGTGTCATACAATTTATAGTCCCCAAATTGTTACAAAATGGCTTAATAGATGTGCTGGATAGCTTTAGTGTCAACTTGACACACTTGGGTTGAGGGAGCCTCAATTGGGGAATTTCCTTCATTGGACTGGCCTGTGGCCATGTCCATGGGGCACCTTCTTGATTGTTGAGTGATGTGGGAGGGCCCAGCCCACTGTGGGTGGTGCCACCCCTGGGAAGGTGGGCCTGTGTTGCATAAGAAAGCAGGCTGAGCAAGGGCCAGGGGAGCAAGCCAATAAGCAGTATTCCTCCATGGCCTATGCTCCAGCTCCTGCCCCCAGGTTCCTGCCCTGAGTTCCTACCTTGGGCTCCCTGATGAACTGTGATCTGGGAGATGTAAGATAAATAAACTCTTTCCTCCCCAAATTAGTAGTGGTCACAGTGTTTTGTCACAGCAATGAAGAAACAAACTAGGACAATAGAGATAAAAATGTCCAATAACAACATATGAACAATTTAATGGCCAAATGGCAGCTAACAACTGGAGTTAAGGACAGTTGTTAGCTATCATGTGGGTACTGGAAACAGAACCCAGGTCCTCTAGAAGAGCAATAAGTGTTCTTAACCCCTGAGCCATCTTTCCAGTTCCTGATTTTTAAATTTTACTTTTGATTTTATGTGTATGAGTGATCGCCTGAAGTATGTAAGTGTACTATGTGCATGCCTGTTACCTGCAGAGGCGAGAGGAGGGCGTGGATCACCTGAAACTGGAGATACAGACTGAGAGCTACCATGTGGGTGCTGGGAATCAAATCTGGGTCCTCTGCAAGAGCAGTAAGTGCTCTTAACTACTGAGCCATCTTTCTAGGCCTGAACAACTGTTTCTATTACATGCAGCTCATGAATGTCTTTGGCTTAAAATTTCAACCTCAAAAAAACAGTAACAATGTCCTTTCTTCCTTCTAAAATTCTTCCCCAACTTTGCATGGGAAATGAAATTTCTCTTAAGAGTCCAGGGGTGATTTCTGTGGGAGGCTAGTGTGACAAAGGGTGACAAAAAGAGAAACACCTGAGGACCAGGTGTTCACACAACCACTTCCTTTGAAAAAGAGGCCTTTCCAATGGCAGAGCTGAGCGGTGTGGCCTGCCAAACTTTTCTAGTCTCTTTCTGTCGCCCCTCTCATTTGCATTTGTGCTGGGTCCCCTTCAAGAGCAGAAGCTGAATCTGGCAGTATCTCTACCACAGGGTAGCAGATTCTGTCCTGAATCAGCTGTCCTCATAAGCTGAGGATGTCTCCTTTGCCAGCTCACCTGGCAAGGATCAGGGCCAGGCAAAACACAGGAGTGCCTGTGGGCCTGTGTCCTTCTGTCTGGTTGAAAGCCCAATGTGCTTAGATTGCTATATGTTTTAGATTTCAAGGGAAGGGCAGTGAACTGAAGCCCTATCACATTGCTGCCCTCTACTTCATTCTGCCTTCACTGGCTCCAGTGTTGAATTCAATCATCTTGTAGTTTTGTGTGTCAGGGAAGTGGAGCATAATTCTATAGTTTCAGGGGTTGCCTAGAGCTGAACTCTTAGAAACAATAACAAGAGCCAGAAGTCCCCTTTGTGTTGTTTTTGTATAAGCGGGTGCCAAGAGTCTGAAACATTTGTCCACTGACCAGTGCAGCCGTGCCTGATCTCCTAACCCTCGAGTCTACTGTTCTCAGAGTAAACAGGGCTGTGGGCTTATGTGGGTTTGGTTAAGATAGTCAAAATATTTATATTTTTATAGAGAAAACACAAAATCCTGATTTTGCAAGTTTGGGTTGACACTTAACCATGAGTTTGTATTTGTGGTATTTAGGGATGTGGGAATGTTTTCCTCCTAGGACTCCAGGTTCCAAGAGGGCAAAATAAAGACATCCTTCCAAGTATGTCTGAGATTTTCCTTCCACCTGGCCACACCTTCAGCAGCATCCTTGTTAGTACAGAGACTCTGTGTTCTGGGATACAGAGAGCACTGGGGTGTACAGAGGAGGCCTGCAGACAGTTACTGTGGTTCTGACAGAAACGAGCAAGAGATAATTATGTTTGTGAAGGCTTTATATCTTGGGATTTATCTTTTGGCTCATATTCAAGGAAGGTAAATATTAGAGTGTCAAAAACCCATTTTCATAGAGTGAAACTAGTTCAAGAGGTAATTCCACTTTTTTTCTTAGACTAATTAGGTCAATGGGGTTCACACGAACAACTTCTCATTTTGATGGAGCCAAGCTGTTTGAGGTGTGAAAACTGCATCTAGTAAGCTTCTCTCTCTTTGGAATTGCTGGGCATGGTGGTGCATGCCTTTATTCCCAGCACTTGGGAGCGAAAGGCAGGTGGATCTCCACGAGATCAAGGCAAGCCTGGTCTACATAGCGAGGTCCAGACCAGCTGGGGCTAGAGAGAGACCCTGTCTCAAAAAGATAAAAAAAAAAAAAAGAATGGAATAAATTCATACATATTGAAAAGCATCACAATACACATTAGCTTCATATCTTGATATGTTTATATAAATCTCCTTTATTTATTGGTCCACGCCCTCTCTATAGTATTAACCTCAAGGTAAATAAGAGTGTATTTGGTGCCAAACCTCCTTTGTGTGCCTTTAGGGTATACCCCCACTGCCTCTCATACCTGGAAGGGGCACAGGCCTAGTCTTTGTTATTCATGCAGGGTATTTGTTATCTGTAAGTCAAGCACCCAGCTATAGGACCCTTCTACTGCTTAGCTGGGGTGCTTTCCACCCACCCCATAGAGGACAGGGAAAGGGACAGAAGATGCTGGGATCAATTAGAGACATGAGCTTAGCATCCCTGTGTTTCATCCTAGTTCTGCTCTTGCTCACCCAGTAAATTAGTTAAGCTGGGTACAACTCCACCTCTTTAGTTCTAGAAGGAAGCTAATAGACTTAGCTCATAGCTTCTTATAAAGATCTTTGTGAGATAATATGTGAAAAATGCCCGGCACAGTCCTTTCCACAAAGCACTGTATTCCATAATGAATAAAGCAGTGGATTTTCTTAATATTTGTATATACTAACAATAATAATGATACAGACTCCCAATTCCTGAGCTATAAAAATGACTTTTGGTTCCTTACTCCTATATATAATTATACACAGCTCTGAGTTCATGCCCCTACCTGCTCCCTGTGGCTTGCTTCCCTTTCCCTATGTCTGGGTGGAAAGCATCCTTCTCAGCTTGGTGGACCAGAGGCTAACATAAAGAAACCTCACTCACTAATCCTGCAGCTCCACTTAGGCTTTTCCTGGGGCAGTTGTGTGGAAAAGAAGGGATAAGGAAGCATTTAAGCCTAATTTGAAAAGATAAAAGGGTATAATGTTTTCTATAATACAATAGGATAACCACAATTGACAGTAATTAATTGTGGATTTCAAAATACTCAATAGAGAGGATTTTGAATGTTCCCAACACAAAGATATGATACACATCTAAAGTGATCAATATACAAGTTACCCTGATTTGATAATTACACATCATATACATGCATTAAAATGTCACAGTGTACTCCACAGATATATACAATTACTAAGTATATTTTAAAAAGTGGTATAAGGGAAAACAGTCATATGAAATGAGTATTTAAAAATTTACTGCCCGATGACCACATTTTTTAGATCTGATAACACATGGAAAGAGAGAGGCCTCCCATGACCCCCTCATTTTCAGTATCACTCAAGCCTTTGCACACATGCACACTAGCACATGAATATTCCCACACTCTTACTTTGAAACTACATTCACACAGTCATGCACATACACAGACCGTGCCAACACTTTTCTTCCTCTCTTTGAGCTTATTTTCTTAATAATCTGTGTTCTGAGTTGATATTTAGTTTTCAGTTGTTTGTCTTTCTGTACTGGAAAGGAATCCTCATGAGATCAAGGCCTTTTATCTTTTGTAATCACTTTTGTATCTACAGTACCTAAAATGGTACCAACCACGAAGGGCTTAATTAATACTTTCAAAATGAATGAATGAATACATCTAGGTCTTCAAAATAAAGCACTACTATTCCTCCTCTATGTGTGATCCACACTGGCAAATCAATGGGGAGATAAACCAGAAAGGCATGAAGGCTGCACCTTCTAGCATAGAACAGCTGGATGGATCCTGGGGTCTTTAAATCATGGTAATCTCCATCCGTCCAGTAGCAAGAAAATGTCTCTAGTTCAGGTGAACGGCACTTGGTGAATTTAGGCTTCCCAGAAGAATCTGCAGGATAAAAAGAAAAGACAAAAATGAAATCAGGAGGGTTTGTGCAGTCCTCATCAAACATATCTTTAAAGTGCATAAAGGAGAAAGTGCTGTGATAAAGTCTGCCTAGCCCATCTAGGAGGTGATGCTTAAGACCTGCCAGAAAAGTTCTTTCTTGGTTCACATCTGAGCATTAATTGCTTGTTATTGTCAGTCATTGATTTTAAAGTTAAACTGTTTTGCCTTCATTTCAAGCATTATTCCTTAGGGACTTATTAACAGATGATGCTGGAGCAAAGGATCTGGGTGCGGGTAGTTCACTTGGAAGGCCCACTAGGAACTTGAAGTAAGACAGTGGGAAGAGGGGAAAGAGGACATAAGAAACAATCCTTAAACCTAAGGACGGAATAGTTAACACCCACGTAGAGCATCTCTGAAAAGAATGAATGTTGCAACCTACAAGACAGTTCACCTTTGTCCCTAAATAAGAGTAGTCCAACTGAAGAGGCCCCACATCCTGAAGTAATGATATTCATTTTCATTTCTTCTTTGGAGGTTTCCACACATGTGTATGTGTGGGTGTGCTCACCAGTCTATGTTCATGTAAGATACAGCATCACTCACTAAACTTGGAGCTTGTCATTTCAGCAAGGTAGCTGACCAGTGAGCTCCTGGGATCTGCTGGTCTGTTTCCCCAGCACCAAGTTTGGAGATACATGCCTCATGCATAACTTTTATATGAGTGCTGGTGATCTGAACTTAGTCCCTATGCTTGTCTTGCAAGAACTTTACCCACTGAGCCATCTCTCCACATCCTGGAGTCTTCATTTAAAAAGATGAGGATTCCAGGGAGCTGGAGAGATGGCTCAGTGGTTAAGAGCACTGGCTGCTCTTGCAGAAGACTCAGGATTGGTTTGTTAGCCCCCACATGGAGGCCAACAACTGTCTGTAACTCTAGTTCCAGGGGATCCAACACCCTCTTCTGGCCTTTGTGGGCATTGTACAGCACAGGTGCACTTACATGCATGCAGACAAAGGATTCATAGACATAAAATAAAAATAAGTAAATAAAAAATTTTAAATGAAGATTCTAAGATATGAAGTTGGGAGAGAGATGGGAGATATGCAGGGGGTGGGGTGGGGGGAGCTGGAGAGAGCGAGTGGGAGATGGTCATGACCATGATACATTTTATACATGCATGAAGTTTTTTAAAAAGTGAAAAACATAAACAAAATAAAATGAGGATTCCCACTTGTAGATACATCTTTATTAGAGTTATTACTAGTTACGTTGTGTTTCTTATTACAGCACACTGAACACATTACATATATTGAATCTTTTAGTACTGACTGTAGATTACTGTATTAGGCACTTTTCTGTTGCTGTGATAGAAACACTGACCCAAACAATTTATAGAAGGAAGAGTTTATTTGAGCTTACAGTTCCAGGGGAATTACAGTCCACCATGGCAGGGAGGCATGGTGGCTGGGGGTGGCTGGAGGTGGCTGGAGCAGGAGCAGCAGAAGTTAAGCTCTTACATCATCACAGGAAACAAGAGAGCGACTAGAGATCCAGCAAGGCTTAAGAACTCTCTAAGCCCACCCCAGAGACGTGCTTCCTCCAGGATAGCCACACCTTCTAAAACCTCCCAAAACAGCGCCATCATCTGGGGACAAAATGTCCAAATACTTGGAGCCTATGGGGGACATAGGGGACATTTTCATTCAAACCATCACAATTGCCTTTTGCTTCTTGAAAAATTTCCAGAAGGAAAATTGGCAGTTTCAGACCTTCTCTTAGTTCAACTCTCAGAAATCAGTTAGCTTGGAAATCTCCATGTACAGCAATTCCCAACTGTGACAATACCCTGAGTCAACTGAGGCATTTATTCTTATTTATTTATTTATTTATTTAAATATTTTATTATTTTCATTTTATGTGTATGAGGGTGTTGCCTGCATGTATGTGAATGCGCCCATGTCATGCAATGCCACAGAAGTCAGAAGAGGGCTTCGGATTTCCCTAGAACTGGAGTTAAGGACTTTTTGTAGCCACCATGTGGGTGCTGGCAATCAAACCGGGTCTTCTGCAAGAGCAGTTAGTGCTCTTAACCACTGAGCCATCTCTCCAGCCCTCAACTGAGACATTTAAAACATAGGGATGCCTTGGTTTACTTTCAGAGATTTGAATCAATTTATCTGGATGCAGTAAGGAACTCTGAGTTTTAAAAGTTCCCCAGGTACTTGGAATGTGTAACCCAGGTTGAGAGCCACGGCTGGAGATTAATTTACATATCAGACACCAAATGTGGCTTTTACATTAAGAAGCTAGTGTTATTTCTATTGAATTTATTTAGAAATCTTAAGGAGAGTTTTATTCAAGTTGTTAAGAGTGATAAAAGTTTGATACTATATCCAAATCTATAATGGTGGAGACATAATATCAAGAGGGTGCATGGCATTGCTGGTTATAATGTGTCACCTCAACACCACCATGACTGATTTGTAGGTCAGACTGGCTGCACAGGCTTAAGTCAGCTTCCTCCACAACTGCCTGGTCACTCTGCCTTGGAGGAAAGTACTCTCCCAGACAGCCTACAGAGGGAGTACATCAAGCAGTTACGTCACAGTGAAGGATTCATTTCCAGAGATGCTTTTATATTCTCAACCCACAGTACAGGAGAAACAAAAACCAAATAAGATAGCCCATAAGTCTGTCTTCATTTTGGGTTTCAGGAGAAGGATAAAAGAACAATTAAAGTAGGAATTGTGGTACCTAAGTGAGAAATATTCTCCTAGGCCCAGGTATCTGAACACTTGGTCTCCAGTTGGTGATTTTGGGAAGTTAAGGAGGTTGGCCTTGCTGGAGGAAGTTTGTCACTGGTGGTGGGCTGCCATGCCTTTCTACCATGATCGATTCTCATCCCTCTGAAACCATAAGCCAAAATAAATTCTTTCTTCCGTAAGTTGCTTGTGGTCATGCTATCTTATCACAGCAACAGAAAAGCAACTAATGTGGAGGGGAAGATAGGAGGGAAAGAAAGCACCGAAGAAGAAGGGCAGTCTTCTGCAGAGGGCTCCAGGGTGTGGTGTAGAAGGCACTCAGCAGCCATCTGTCCTTCAATGTAGACTCTTCACACCATGTCTTGAAGACCATCTGCTGCCAACAATCACAGACATTTGTTACCCCTGAACACACAGTGGGTGGTAAGCTACCCTGTATGGGGTGGCAACTTCAAGGGAAAGTCTTTCTGTCTGTAATATGTCCCTGAGTTCAACCAGTTCGCAATTTCATTTGGATTCTGGGGTAGCAGTATACAGAAACTAAGGAAACACAACACAACACACCACAACACAATGCTGTTTAATGTGCTCAAGAAAATCAGTGAATTAAATTTGTACAAAGACATATTAAAAAAGAAAAAAAGAAACTGTTTTAGGAATAGTTTCAGGAAGTCCTGGATTCTACTGCCAGCACCACAAAAAGAAAAAAGAAGGATGAAAAACAATCTACAGAATAGAATAGAATAGAGAAGTGATTTCAAATATGGTTTGCATCCTAAATGATGAAAGAAATTGTAAGACTAAACTAGAATGTGTTTCTATCATGTATGAAAAATGAGATAGAAAATACTTCAGTGAATTAAATAAACCTGTGCAGGGGCTGGAGTGATGGCTCAGAGGCTAAGAGCACTGACTGTTCTCTCAGAAAACCTGGGTTCGATTCCCAGCACCCACATGGCAGCTATGAGCCATCCTTAACTCCAGTTCCAGGGGAATCCGAAGCCCCTTCTGACCTCCGCGGCACTGCATGACACGGGTGCACTCACATACATGCAGGCAATATACTCGTACACGTAAAAACAAAACAAAACAAAACAAAAAAACAAAAACAACAAAAAACCTGTGCAAATTCAGGCAGACCAAAAAACCAGCACAGAACTGGGGAAATGGGCAGCAGGCCCCAATCTTAGCTGAAGAATTACTGGCAGCTGATTACTGCTAGGTGAGGAAGAGCTGATCTTCTTTAAGAGAATGACACTAGATAAGCAAGACTCCAGTGGGTGAACTTGCACTAAGGGTTGTCAGGAGACGCTAGCTTGACTCAACAGGCATTAACATAAATGACAGAATACATGAAATCCAGTTGGGGGAGGGTGATGATAGGGAAGAGGGTATAAAGAGGATTAAGATGTTGTATATGAGATACACAAAATTTCAATAAAATATATTTAAAAAACAGATTGGGAAAAATGCTGAGGAACCTGCATATGTAGTCAATCAGAGGTCAGTTTTAGAAGAGAACAATCAGTGCATGTTCAATTTCCTTGCTCTGTAGAAAAAATGGTTACTGCTGAGCATGAGCCAAAGTGAGGAAATACTGTCAATTCAAACCAGTTTCATATGTTGTGAGGATTGCATAAGCACACTGGTCCAGGCCAAGTATGGTGAAATGCTAATGTTCCCTTCCACAATAATAAACAAGAGACAGTGATTCCAGCTTCCTCACCTGTACTTCACAGGGTTTGGGTGATGGACTTGCATCCATGAATCAATAATTCAAGGACATCTTTACATTTAGCCTTTATATTTGGATAAGACAATACTATAGAATAGAACATACAAGATTCTTAAAGATTTGGTGAGTGAATACATGCAGATATAATTCTATGATGAAAGAAGAAGTTTCTGCATTCATTATCATTGCTTTTCAAAGTTCTCTTCTAAGGCAGTAGCAGAACTGATAGGGAAATGACAGCATAATAGTAACTAAGACTTCTTACAGGACATGTGCCAGTTACTGTCCTGCACACGAGGCAAGTTCTATTATTACCATTTTATAGGTGAGGAAACTGAGGCACACTTAGAGAAGTAAAATAGCAAGCCCTAGGGTCACTTGGCTACTAAGCTGCACAGCACTGATGGCCGCCAGGCAGTTGCGTTTCAATGTCTGTGTTTGCTACCACTACACTGGCACTTTCCAGATGTATATATTTATATATGTGGTATATACAAGA